AAAATATGTTGTCAATTCGTTGCAAGGTTCAACATGATGTTTAGTTTCTGTACGAAAACATTCAATATTCTAACAATTATTTTATGTTTTACACAGGTACTTACCATACTTCAACTCAGAAACAATAAACTCAGTAGTCAAGGAGTATATAATTTTAGTGATGGCCTACGACAAAATCAAGTAGTGTTTTCCTTCGTCTCACTTTTGTTGTGCTACTAACTTATTGCGTTATCTAGTCGCTTACGACACTTGATTTTTCATTCAGTGGAATATATGAAGAAGAAGGTCTACATTGTTGCCTAAGAATGGAACCATATGAAGTACTATATTCTGGTGTCTAGTTCTCTTTCTTTCATTTAATGTATTATTTCAACCAGACACTTGTTCTACTGATCAATCGTGGAAAGGAAATTCGTACGCAAGCAGCAAAACACTTTGACCATGCACTACGACAAAATCATATAATAGCATCGACTTGGTTCGTCTTAATCTGATATTTAGTTTTTGATTTTCATAGACACCGACTACATTGATTTTTTGACTCTAATAAAAGAAGAAATCAAGGAACACATTATTTTGCTGATGGTTTAAGCGAAAATTAGGTCATATATTATTCTTCATGTCGTACATTTTATGATTCAATGAGAATTTCTCTCAGGTACTTACAAAACTAATGTAGAATCTAGGATTTTTTTTTGCGAAGATGAGAAGCAATAGTGATCAGAAAATCGTTTTGAAGCTCATCAGAGTCGGTGATAGCTTATTTTAGAGCCTTGTCTCGTTAGAAGAAGTCAAGAAAATACAATTTTCGAATGAAACCATCGCTCCTCCTATCTATTATAAGTCTGCCATTGCACCAAGCTTGGTGTTTCACAACTGGATCAATGATCAGGAAACACAATATTTTGAAAATATTTTTACATGGAATCTCATTCTATCTCTTTTCTTGAATCTTATATTGCATCACTTACTGATTATTTTACGCAGACGCTTGTCACACTTAGTCTGAGAAAAAATAAAATTGGTTCAGAAGGTGCGCTGGGTGTGGGTGTGGATGTATTCTCCTTCATACTGACGCACCCCACGCCCATACTCACCTTAAAATATGATATACTCGTATATAAAATATAATATACAATTATGAAATCTATAAATAACAATAAAATAATAAATATATAACGAGGGTGTGTATGTATGATTGCTGAAGCATAGAAGATCCACACCCACACACCCACATCCACGCTCACATCCCTACACCCGTATGCTCTGTCCATCTATTTTGGATAATTTAGAAGAAACTGCTTACGTAGATTGTCTTTCAACTAGTTCATTATCGAACCAATCGTTGATGACAAACAAGATATCGAAGAAACACAATGAATTCTATATCTGAACTACGTTCTCGACATAACATCTCCCTCATAGATCAACGATAGCGATCTATACAGACAGACTGAAACTTATTTGTCACATTCGGGATTGAAAAAACATTAGGGCTCTGACGGATGGATAGAAATTTTAATATTTTTTATTTTGAAATATTTTTAAAATATAAATCATTTGATCAAGAGATCAAACAAACTCATTTGTATTACATATGACTCAAACAAGCAAGGAAATCGAGGTTGGACCGTGATGAAAGAAAGGTGTGGGTGTCAGTGTGACTGAAGAGAATATGCCCACCCACACCTCAAGAGTTCACAGTTGGTGAACATAACAGATGTTTATAGTTTTATATGGACACATATATTTGTTTTAATTATGTACAAAACATTTTTCATAACAGTAAAAATACTAATATTATGATTATACTCGATAAGAAGTATCAATAGAAAAGTATTAAATAAAGGGTATAAATATGTACATAAGCGTAGCTTTAGTCTTTAAACATACTCCCACACCCTATCAAAATATCAGTCACATCAATGAGGATGATTAAGCAAAATTGGTCGTTGCTGACATGCAGTACTTTCTAAAGTGCCCAATAACAATTAGGTGCATAACTAATTAGGTAGTTAGTTTTTACAGCACTGTATGGAATATTTTTTCAGTATGTTAGTCGATTTAATGTCTACGACCATTCAGGAGTTAGTAGTAAAGAAAAAAAAGTACTATAAAGTCTCTGTAACATACTGGTGACAGGATATCCTTTTCGGTGTCTTATATAGAGTGTTTTTACTAGAATATCATGTAAAGAACTGGCCACATGCTTGCACCCACATCCAGCTTGTCCGTTTTACAAAAATTAGTTAGATGAAAGTCCTGTTTTAGTACTGGTTCAATATTTTTTGGTACATTATTATTGGTAAATAATAATATCATTATCAAGCATATTTGTGTCCTCAAAGGTTTATATATTTAAAAAAAACAAATAAAATATATATTGATTCCATTTAGTTTAATGTCCGTTTTGATAATTAAATCTATTTGATTTGATTATTTAATGCATACTCAAAACGGTGAGAATAGTATTTGAGATAATATGTTTTCAACGATGATCATTCAAGAAAAAAATATTGACCAGCTGATTTTTGTTCCTTGTCCTAATTCATACAAAGATACAAAATTAGTTGTAAAGAAAAACCTTCTCTATAAATTAAGTTTACTCTAAAAGATCCTTTCTTATTAATACGTGGTCGACCATTTCTTGGATCTCGTCGAAATGTTATTTCGAGTTGTTTTAAAAATGAATTCATACCCGGTAGAAGTGCCTGTGGTCTATATAAAGACAGTAATAAATATTTTTCAACTAAAAATTTAACTAGTAGTTTTCATACTCAGATGCATGAGTTTTGATGGATGGTTCTCCATCAAAAACAATAACACGATCAGCCAAATATGTTGCCATGAGAAAATCGTGTTCAACAACAAAGCCTACTTTTTTATAATGACGAAGAAATCTAGAAGAAAATATTTAATGAAATTTCAATTTTTCTTGATTATTATCTTCTTTACCGTTTTATAGCTCTTGCAGCATGTAAACGTTGTTCAGAATCAAGAAAAGCTGATGGTTCATCAATTAAATAAACATCAGCTGACTTTCCTAAACATAAACATAATGCAACACGTTGTAATTCACCACCAGATAAATCTTGAACCTTAAAATACACTATTTTACACACGAACGAAAAATATCAAATATCAAATTTACTTGATTATCAATTATTTTATCGATTTGAAGTGGTCGTGAAACATCCGTTTGAAATTGTGGAAGAAACATTGTTTCACCAATTTTCGCATGAAGTAAATTACGAACTGTACCAGTAAACTTCGGACTAATCTTTTGTGGTTTATAAGAAACATTCATTTGAGGCATTTTGACTAAATATTTAAAAGAAATATGGAGTCTTAGCATGAAAATTTCAATTTCAATTAAATTGAACATTAAATTTTTCAAAGACACATGTTAATTTTCCTTGAAAACTTCATGTTTATCTAATGTGTACTAATATTTCGGTCTCTTCATCAAAATTTCATACTTCTCAGTAAATATTTTAGTAGAAAATCTTAGAGATTGATTTATAACTTTTCGTTCTAACATGAACATATATTCTCATTCTAATTAAATGTAATGAAATAAATGACAATTTAATAGTTATAAATGAACTAACCTCCATTATCGGGTTCTAATTTACCAGCTAACATTTGAATCAAAGTTGTTTTACCTAGAAATAGGAAACGTTTCAGAATTATTCGAAATTCAATATATTTATATATTTATTTATTTTTCTATAAATTTCTTTACCAGTTCCATTTTCTCCAAGTAAAACAATAATTTCCGATTCTGTAAAGGAACCCGCATCAACAGATAAATCAAAAGAATCTAGATTTTTTTTCATAGCAGGATAATAATGTGTTGATAAACGTCTAACTTCTTCTTTAGACGCTGTTTCAACAACTTTAAACGTTAACTCAACATCGCGAAAACGTAAATTTTCTGTTCGAATAAAACCATCCAAAAATATATTAATACCTACAAACAAAAAAAATAATAAAATCATATATCAACCAATTATAAATAATATTTTCATGTCTTTTTTACCTTCACGAACAGAAAAAGGCATTGTTACAACACCATAATGACTAGGCGAACCATATAAAATGCAAATAAAATCCGACAAATAATCAAGTACCGAAAGATCATGTTCCACGGCGATAATGTATCTGTACCAAAAAAAGAAACAATACGATTAAAAAAGGATGTGCATGTGGTTTATGGTCTCTATGCATATCGTACTAAATAGAAATTCAGTTAAATTTCACTATAATATTTAATCCTTTAAACTATGAAGAAAAATTCTTTCAACTTGTTACGGTGTACTTTTTATTATTTACTGTAAAATAATGATACGAAATTTACCATTATATTTGCAACATATAGGAAAATAAAATTTCATTCTATAAATATTATACAGTTAACATAGGATAATGAATCTTCTTTATATTCCTGATGTATACGAAAGAATTTTATTTTCAAATATCCTAAAAACATGCTATTTTTCTTTAACAATAGGTTGAACTTCCGAAGAATGTATAAATAACTCATCAGTATTTGAATCTACAATAATAAAGAACAACAATCAGCATAACATACCGATTTTCTTGAATAAGGTTTCGAATAGCCACAGCAGCTTTTAAGCGTTGTTTAATATCAAGATAACTTGATGGTTCATCAAATATGTATATATCTCCTTTTTGCATACAAGCCATAGCACATGTAAATCTTTGTAATTCTCCACCAGACAAATCGGATATTTGTCGATCTTGAACATTTGATAAATCAAATAATTCATATATTTCACTTTGATCACTTAGTTCATCTGTTCTTTGTAATACATTATGTACAAGACCCTAGCAAAACAACAACAATCTTTTAGAAAAAAAAAGAAATTGATAGTTCAAATTTAATTTACTTGTACAAGTTGTGGAATTCGATCGACATCCTGTCTTTTGAATACAGTTTTAAGATTTTCTTCAAGAATTTTTGTAAAGTAACTTTGTAATTCACTACCACGAAAATATTTTATTATTTCTTGCCAATCCGGAGGTGTCTAAATCAAATGAAAATTGAATATATAATATTAAATCTAAAATAATATCATTTTGTTTTCAATACCGAATATCTACCCAAATTGGGTTTTAAATTTCCAGCTAAAACTTTTAATGCTGTTGTTTTACCTGTACCATTTGAGCCAACAAGACCTAAAACTTGACCTTGTCGTGGTATTGGTAAACGATGTAATTTAAATGAATTCAATCCATAACGATGAGTTGTATCTTTATCAAGATTACTTGGTAAATTAATAATACTTATTGCATCGAATGGACATTGCCTCACACATATACCGCAACCAATACATAATTCTTCTGATATATTAGAATTAGTTGATTCAGGTTTTACTTCAATACACAATTTTCCTGTTCTATTAACTGGACTAAAATAATGAGAATTTAATAAAGTATTCAAATAAAATATAAGATTTAATAAACTAACCATGATCGTCTACATTCTTGATTACATTTTTTAGGTTTACACCGATCGTTATTTACTATAGCAATTCGTGTTAAAGATTCTTGTTCACAATTTCGTTTGTCAAGACGATTATTTTGCATGTTTTCAAAATATTTTTGTTTCTCTAAGAATAAAAGAAAGGTTCTTGACATCTCTTATGATATAGTATTCAAAAAAGGTAATTTCAGCATTGACAATAATTGCGCAAGAACGGAATGTTGAAATAATTGCGAAATTCATGTATTCTGTTGCGTAAGATATATTTAAAGTCCAAATTGTAAAAGATATTCTTTCTATGATTTATCCTGTAAGGATGGGTATGAATTTCATTGTTTTTAAATCTTAAACATGTGGTCTTTTATACCTTACCGTTATTTACATAGGTGGGATTTTGCTTCCCTTGTGTTTCAGAAAGATACAGTCCAATAGGGTTTTCAAAACAGCAGAAAATATGCATAACCAGAAAAAAAAAGACAAAACTGATTTAAAAAAAAGTTCCTTAAAACAAGAATATAACACATTAATTAAATAAGATAGGGTGGGTGTGGGTATGGATGTGGATTTGGATGTGGGTGTGAGCATAGGTGAAGAGGTCTCGCGTCCGCGTCCGCACCCACACTCACACCCAAATCCACACCCACACCCCACTCACACCCACACCAACACCCACACCAACACCCACACCGACACCCACACCCTAATATTACTGTGACAGATAAGATTTTATTTCAGGACGTGTTTTATCCAGCATAAAGAGGACCGAGGAGGTGACGCTTCTCATAAGATAAATTCGCTCTTTCAAAGTTCATATCTAGGTTGAAATTAGTCCAGTTCGGTTGTCACCGGTTTTTTCCTCCATTTTAAGGGTACTGAAGTTAGTCTATTTTAATCATCATCAAAATCCCAACTCTAAGTTTTGAACTCACGCTTTCTCATAGTAGAATAAGAACCATGAATCAGAGTGAATGTATTGATCATGGTGACGAAAAGTTAGCCACTCGTTAGAAATCAAATTCGATCTAAAGTAAAGATTTTTCACCTTTAAAATTTCGAGCTCACTTTTTGGATTGCTTTTAATCGATTATCAGAAACTCTCAACTTTTCGATACAAAAATATCAGAAAAGAATCTGTTCTATTGAGAAAGTTATGTCAATCATTAACATGATGCAACTGTGAAAATATCTAGGTATTAGGAAACCTAAAAATATCAAGCCTAGTATAAAACTGAACTTTATAGGTCATTTTAAGATCTTATCAGACGTAGTATCCTTTTATGAATCGAGAAACCTTTCAATAGTGTTAAGTAATAATTTTAAATAAGAGATTAGATCAAATTTATCAATCCTTACGAGTTATTGCATCGAAAAATTTATTTCATCTGAAGACCTACTATCGGACTATTATTAAATCTGATTGCAAATAAAAATTTGCACCTTGATTTTTTATCATTGAAATTCAAATTTGTATTGTTTTTATTAAACAGTGTATGATAATGATTGTGAATATACACTAGTTAGTTATGTTTGGCAAATCAATTTTTAATCGACTGGTAAAGTTCTATTTTTATTGGTTTGTCTTTTTTTTTTATTTATTTTATTGTTTTGTTAAATGCTGTTCATCATTTTGGCAAAGCTTTCGATGACGATGATAATTCATGTCAAAGAAAATAATCTTAGAAAGAGCTGTTTGTTATCCTTCATCAAGTTATTATTGAAAATTGAATCATTCATTTGGTTTCTTTCTTTTTACTTTTTTTTAAATTTTTTTTTAATCAAAATCTATCATTAATATATGTTTATAGATGGGTTAATAAAGCAAGATTCATCGAAAGATATAAAGTCTTAATGCATACTCAACATATTCGTTTTGATACAATTATTTCCTAATTATCATGATTGTTTTTGACTATGAATACTATCTAGAACAACTACACAACATGTAATACCTCTTTCAACAACAAATAACGAAACTGTCGCAATTGATAATGAAGATACTGATCTTTTACGTATATATTTTAAACCATTTTAAACGGTTTACATGATTTACTGCCGTGAGCTTTAGTGCCGTGTAAACATTTGTTTACAAATAGATCTTTCTTTTCATAAGAAGTTATATGATTAAGTTCGATAAGTCTAACGATCACGATGTAATATTTTTTTGTTTCCTATTTCAAAAGTTTATTTTTCATCTCAAAGGTTTGTAAAAATACGCTGAAATCTAACTATAGTTCGTAATGAACTTTATGAAAAAAAGCTATTTTATGTCAAAGGTTTATTTTTAATCTCAGACGTTTGTAAAAATGGATTAAAATCTAACTATAGTTCGGGTGTGGGTGTGGGTGTGGATGTGGATTAAGAAAATAAAAATATCCACACCCACACCTCACACCCACCCTCACTTTACAAACACTATACAACTTATTGAAAGGAAGATATATAAGATTCGTTTAATGAATTTATATTATTTGTTATTAATCTATTTAAATATATTTCATTGAACGACACTCATAGTCTTTCTTTTCAAAGAACATCTTATCGACATCTATTAATTTTGTAATAGTATAATTACGAAAGACCTAAAGTAATATTTTACAAATGAATATGAAAGATAGAAATATAAGTCCTTTGATGTATTTATTAATTAAAATAGATAGATGGATTTTGCAAAGAATGAATATAAATTGAAAAAATACAATGAAACAATAATTATAAACCGAAAATTTGAAATCTGATTGTTTGTCGTATATTGTGTAATGCTGTTTGAATTTCGAATACTTTCTGTGTCATTTCATTGTTTTGAAACATCCTGTCTAATATTTGCAATTTTATATTCTTCAATTGAGAACATGCCTTTACAAGAATTTCCCATTCATATATATCCATGAATGCTTCAATATCGTATTTATTGATAATAAAATGAACACATCGAATGTTCGCCATTTGTTTGATAAGAATAATTATTGATTTCAAACAACATAATCTATTACATTCATAATAATTACTCATTGAAATCAATGGAAATTGACCAACATCAAATAGAAAATATTTCACAGTCGAATTTACTTGGTAGGATTTGTTTGATCGATATGTGGTATAATGAGTGCAAAGTACACCTGCACAACGAATTTCAAATCGTTTGATTCGATCCCAAAATTGATTAAAAATACTACTAAATGTATCAAGATTAATTTCATTATCATAGCACAGAGAAAGGCAAGTCAAATTTGGAAAGTATTTTTCATATTTATTGATTTCTTTATCATATGGTAAATTGAGAAGAGTCATTGAAATGATGTTTGTAAAGGTAGATAAAAAAGTTAATTCAGCCTTCGACCACAATCGAAATCCATCCAGTTGTAAAGAAACAATTTGTTCAGGTTTGAATTTTCGAAGAATCATTTGAATAAATGGGATATCAGGATTAGATAATTGAAATTTCATTGAATGATGTTGTAATAAAGAAAGAATATTAGTAGAGAACGCAGAGATTGCATCATTTAACCCTTAAGAGCCGAATGTCCCTTCCAAGGGACATTTGGAAAAACGCTATAGGAGACGTAAAAAAATCGTTGAGGCATGGGCCAATATTTTTTTGGACTTTGATGACCTAATAGAGTATAGAGTGAAAAGAAATTTCTTAAAATCGACTGTCAGGGGACGCAGCAGGTTTTGGAAAATGCATGAATTTTTTAAATACAATTTTGTATTTTGTAATGTATGCCTTTTCGTAAATATAGCGTGAATTAGCGTGAATTTTGGCTTTTCTGAGAGGCACAAAGGCAAGCTACCGAATGAAACTGTTCCCTAAATTTTTAAGTTGTCTATTGAGACATAGTGATAGCATGAAGAAAATGTTCCTTGGAAGGGACATTCGGTCTTAACGGGCCGAAAAGTTTGAGCGAGACTTACATTGAAACCGATAGTGTGTAAATTTTGAAAAATTGTAAAATATTGCTTGAATTAGTTTCTTGAGTAATAAGAAACATATAAATAGAGGTATTTTAAAGAAAAAATTGCTTTTACATAAATTGATAACAGTGAAAAATTTTGGACCGTTACGGCCGAATGTCCCTTCCAAGGGACATTTTATATCTCCGTAAGAAAAAAATTCTTTTTTGTTTTTATTATCAATGATTCTTATTGAGATACTACACCTTCTGTTTTACCGAATAATTTGTTCAAATTGCGACGATAAGGCCTTCCGGCTTTTAAGGGTTAATGAAAGATATTTGGCTGTCTCAAGGATGACTTCCCAAGAAAGACCATTAGATTCAACGAAATTAAATGACTTAAATGAATATGTTTGTTTTTTATATAAAGGACAAGTAACAAAGACTTACAAGAACTTGTTCATTTTCATCAAATTGCTTCTTGAAAAGACGCAATTTGTTTAAAACTATTTCAGAGACTTCTGATTTTTGTTTGCCCATTAAATTATCACTTTTAAGCAATGGTTGGAATTGATAATCGGATGTTATTAATTTATCTGTTTTATATTCAAATCGTCGCATAATTCCAATCATTAAAGGCCATTCTTCAGTGAAAAAATCACTCAAAAATTCAATAGAAAACACTTCTTCCCAAATTTTCATCAATCTGATTAAAAGAAGAAAAAAACCATCGTAGTTTTATTTTACATCTAACTCACGTATTTTTATTTGATTGAAACGTTATATCCCAAGGCCAAACAATATAATTGTCAAGTAAATAATCGATAATCGTTGATGAACAGAATACTGTTTTACAAAATGTATTACAAACTTGACTATCGTCATTATGTATGTAAACAAGTATTGGACGACGCTAAACAAAATAAAAGATCGATCTTATTTTTGTTTAAAGAGACAAAAAACAGATGTAAACAAACTTCTTGAATTACAGTCGGAGTAAAAGCTGCTTGGCACGCATCTCGAAGAGAACCTCTGAAGAATACAGGACAAGCATCGTAACGTTGTTCAAAACATTTCGTCATTGAATCAATGCCAACAATTTCATTTTCACATTTCGGAGGAACTTTTTATGTAATATATATATATATTCATTAGTAAATCTATATTTTCTATTAAAATAAAATAAAAAATAATTAACTTACAAGGAGCACTATAGCTAGATTCACGGTTATAATCAATGCCATCTTCCTCACTTTCTAGTATATTATCATCCTAGAAAAAGAATATATAGAATCATAAGTAGTTAAATAGATACTAACCATAGTAATTTTTCATATGCACGTTATGAGAAGTCTTTTTGTTTGTTCGCGAATAAGTGTGAGTCTTTTTGTCAAAAGAATTTTTTGCAAAAAACCAAAAAGAAATAATTTTGCCTATTAGCTCACATTACAAAATTGTAGGAAAAAATCTTTTGATTTGTTTTTACGAATAGAAAATGACTCATGCTTTTGAAGCAGAAATATTTTCTTGTTGTACATCAGAAAGCCAATAAAAACGAATACAATTGAGACATACTTTTTTTTTCTTTCCTTCTATTTCACATTACCATTCCTATGCATGACACGTGCAACATAGCTTGTTGTTTTTATTCTGTTTGCACACATGCATAAAATAAAGAGACGGCATATAAAAAGAAAAACGTCTCATAATCTGCGTGTGTCTTGTAAAAAAAAGAAATCAGCACAGAGCAAATAAACGTTGAAAGATTGTAAATACGAACAAGATTCTCGATTGTTTTCGAGAGTGGGTGGGGCTAAATTTTTTTCGCAGACAGCATCGGAAATTTTTCACAGATACAGTTGATAAGACACATGAGAGAGGCCTGAAAAGGAGTGGAAGCATAAACATTTACTCGAACCAGAGACAGTATATCAACTTTTCAGTGTTGAAATTACGCAAAAGTCTTTTTGCTGGATATCTGATTTCATACTAGACGCAGAAGTCGGCAAACTTCACTAATTAGTAGACAGTCAATGGTGACATGCGTGTGAGCGAAAAATTTTCACCTCCTACTAAGAGTCATATTTTGTTTTACGATTTTCCGAAAGAAGTCCTTTTGTATTAAATGCAGCACCGATTCTCACTATTTTTGCCGTCAAAGGCGGCTACGCTTGTGTCAGTTAGACCAATGAAATGCTCTTGAAGCTTACTAACACTATCTTGAGGATGTGTGTGTGTGTGGGTGTAGGTGGTGTGGGTGTGGGTGTGGGTGTGGGTGTGGGTGTGGGTTTGGATGTCGATGTGTGGGTGGGGGCGGGCGTGTAGGTGTGGGTGGGTTTGGGTGTGTGTGTGAGTGCGGGTGGGGGTGTGAGTGTGGGTGTGTAGATATCCACAGAGACATTGGTATCATACCCTACCCATACTCACACCCACATCCCACACACCCACACGCACACCCCTACCCACACCCCACACCCGCCCACACCCACATCCCACACACCAACACCCACACCCACACCCCACACCCACACCCAACGTGCATGTATACGGTCGATATACATGAAGGCGAATGAAAATCTAACATAATTCATTCATATATTAGTACCGTTTCTAATCTGAGCAGATAAGGGTGTGAGTATGGGTGTGTGGGTGTGTGAATGGGTGTGAGTATGGGTCTGGGTGTGAGTGTGGCTGTGGGGTGTGGGGTGTGTGTCCGTTTTATTGGATAAATTGACTTCTGGATTTTGCTAACAAATCCACAACCCGCACCTACACCTACACCCACACCCACCCTCTGATCCTCACAGAAACTGGAAAGCTATTCTCAATAGCTGCCTCTGTTACCATCGTCGTGTCTATCCCTGTTTTGATTCAAATTCATTTTCCTGTTGTTATTTTCGTTTAAGTTGCAGTTTCAATTATCACTCTGCTACCTATATATGGATGAATTGCAAAATTATTGTACCGTTGTATTCTAGGAGGTAAAATTTCAATATCTCGAGTTCTACTCAACTAATCTTTATGATTTTTTCATCATATATTCGAGTAAGAAGTCCTTACTATCACACAAAAAAATCGCAACGTTATCTTGAACAAGTCCTGAGATATTGGCTGGACAAGGCTCAAAAGTTCGATTTCTGCTGCCGTCTTTTTGACAAAATGTTGTATACCCAGTTCGTTACTTGTCATTTGGATTTTAACAGTTCGTGATGTTTATAATATACACTCTACACTTCTCAGATATAAAACCCATCGGTTCTTTTGACGTAGTTTTTATTACAATTTTATCGAAATACCATGCGTACAGACAACTCTCAATTTTCTGTCACGCGAGATTATTATGGGTATAACTACCTCACAACTAAAGCCAAAGTAAATACATAGAATATCACTTAACTTCTATATTTAAGGATCTATCAACAGTCATGTGAATTAATCCTAGCTTATATTTCACGGGTTAATAAATTCATAGAGAAAAGTCATTAATTATGCACATTCTGTAATTAACTGCACATTTACAAATTTTATCACTGTATAAGTGGAAAAAACTAAGTAAAATTTAAGGCAAACCGTGTTATTTTAGTCGCTAATTCTAGATCAAAGATAGATCATCATTACAAAGAAAAGACCCAACTCAAAAACCTAAAAAGCTATCGAAAAATCGAACTGAGGTGTTTACTATCAAAGAAACTGGACCTTGAATATTTTAATAGTATTTTTTAAAAGATCGTCGTATCCTTGGGCAATTTAATAGTGATAGTCGGGAAACTTTATCCATATTCACCGCCCATGTAGGACTGTAGAATGTACTAATCACCGTTGTTAAAATCGAAAATTTTTTTTCGTCCGTTTTTTTCACGGAACGGTACAATAATTTTGCAATTCATCCATATATCGGTGAGAGTGGGTGGGTGTGGATGTGAGCATGAGTTTGGCTATGTTTCTTCACAACACTCACACCTAGACGCACATCCATACTGTACAAAATGCTTATCTTTGTATTGTATAAATGCATACATCGATTTTGCCGCATAGGTGGACCGTTACGTGGACAGGTCGAATACGGTCTCAATTCTAATAAAATAGTCTCTTAAAGAAAATTTAATCTTATTACGAACTGTTAGGTGTTTTTGTTTCTAGCTCAATCAACCTCAATAACAATAATTACGTTACTTATCTACCTCAACAAAAATTTCTTCTAGTCAATTAATATCGCATGAAACTATTTCAATTATTCGAAAATGATATTCAATCAATCCTAGTTTATGAAGTATTTATTTATTCAATGTTAGATGTACTTATCAAACGATTGTGTTCACAATGATTACATTCATAGGATTAATGATCAATTTATTTTAAATTTTTAGTATATAATGAATAGAAATTTCAATGAAATAATAAGTTATTATTCAATTCATTATAATTTCACTGAAGTTTTAGCTTAATTTGAATCCAATTTCTAAAAAACCATCGAAACTTAATGTAGTTTTGTTCCATGAATGTAACACAATCAGATGCGCTTCGGATACTTAAATATCAAACTAGGATAAATAGCATATGATGTCATAAATCCACTCATAAGACCAGCGGATACTCCACAGGTGAGCATATCCTGTCCTGATAGATAAAGATTCTTGATTGGTGATGTTGGTGAAAGAATTTCCACTTGTCTAAATCGCTCTGGTGTATGTGCTAGTCCACAAGCTGCTCCATGATAAGTTCCAAGATAAAAGTCATTCGTAATTGCTGTTCCATTATCAATATAAACAATTTTCTCTTTTAAATTCGGAAATTCTTTTAAAAATATTTCTAACATTCTTTCCTTCCATTCATCTTTCAGTTGATTATATCCATCACTACGATGTTTTACACGTTTGTCTTTGTAATCTTCAACATGTTCATAAATACCAAGAGTAATAATCGATGCGACACTCTTCTTAGGGTATCTTGTGCAATATGTTGGATCTTTTGCAGATGCAAAAGATATGAAAATACCTGGAAAATCTGCATTGTAATCATTACGAAATTTCTTCATATTTTCATCATGATTCAATGATGGAACTATCCATATATTTCTCTTCGGTAAATTAAGTTCATCGGAATCACCTTGAAGACCAACAAACATTGACATATAACCAGTGTGCGAGGCAAGTTCAGGACTTTCTATAATCTTCAAATGAGATTCAACTAAATGTTGATGAGTTTTAGGTATAAGATACTTGTAGGTTATTGTGGAACTGATAGCACTAACAATAATTTTTGAAAAAATCTGATGATCTTTCACTACAACTCCAATAGCTTTATTATCTTCATTTATAAGAATTGATGAAACTGGAGCACGAACGAACGCTTTTCCTTTAGATTTCTCGATGACTGGAACAATGCTACGTGCGATCATTGATGGACCTCCAATTGGAAAGTATCCTCCACCCATATAGTGATCACATATTAATGCTTGTATTCCAAACGATGATCGTGATGGAACTTCAACGTAATCACCAAATAAATATGTTAAAATTCCAATAAGTTTTCTGTTATTAGTTAATTTGGATAGAACTTGTTCTGTTGTTTCATCAAATATAGAAAGAAAAGGTTGAACCAGTTTATGAATTATCTTCTGAATCCTTGGATATGGTATGCATTTTAGTAAGAATAATACTGTTATACTAAGACGAACTTTCTTAATCAAATTAAAATATTCATGAATTGCTTTTTCTTCTTCAAAAAATGAAGAAATAAGTGTCTTCTTAAGAATCTTAACATCAGAATGCATTGGATATTGTTCACGATTCTCCCCATCACGAATAACTAGAAGATCATATACATCATCCATTTTTTCCCATTCAACTCCATTTTTCGTTATGCAATCAAAATGTTTTCTTAAGTTTGATGTTTTCTTACCAATTCTCCCACCAATATAATGCAATCCAGTTTCAAAATCAAAACCATTTTCTTTAAAAGTATGAGTATTACCTCCAATAACATCATGTTGTTCAAGTAATAAGACTTTTTTTCCTTCTTGTGCCATTATGGAAGCAACAGTAAGTCC